CCCCCGTATATAAGCCCCCCCTTGTATAAGCCCATCAAAACTCGCTTACGAAAGTATATAAGCCCAGGGCTTATAGTCGGAGGTTTACGGTAGAGATAAGGGACCGGTCATTATTTATGGTGGGGGGTGGCACCGAAGAGAAATGTTTTTCCTGGTAAATATTTTGCTGACCCAACCATTAGAAAGCAAAAAATTTGATTACCAAACCTCAAATATCAATTAAAAAATAAATACCCACCCCTTGCCAAAACCTTTACAAAAGGATACCATTCAGTTGTCACACATGTCCTTTACCACTTCTGTGACACAAGTTTGATAACTAAACTTTCATGTTGTATGTACATGTACTTTCTTTGGAGACACCATTTGTCTCCCAACCAATCGGAAAATGATCAAGATAGTGACTCTGATTGATTGATTTACATATTGTATTGACATATGACTGTTGACATTGCTTTTCAGTCTCCAATATTTAAGTGAGTCATGCTTTGGAAATGACAATAACTTTTTATTACCCAACCCTTGAGTTGTTTTGTTTTTCATTTACCCAACCTTTTACTTACTCACAATTTTGTTTACCCAACCTTTTTCTCTTCGGTGCCACCCCCCGCCATAAATAATGACCGGTCCCTAAGAGGCTTAAAATGATGTCTTTGATGTCTCAAAATGTTGTCTTTGTTCGGAGTAAGTGTAAGTTAAGGCACAGTGTTAGCGGTTGCTGCTATAATGTACTTTTTTGCTTTGGTAGAATACGATAATCTGTCACGACTTGGCATAACAGATGTACAGAGTTATTTGAAACGTCGTTTTAAACGCGAGTCAATTGTATATCTAAAGACATGTTGTGCTGGGCCTTTGGTGGTTGACAATCTTGAAGCTGCTATAGATGAAGCATTATCATCTGGGACATGGCTTGATGTCATGGTAAAAAATTCTTTATTTCAATTTACTACTTCAAATCCAAAAATAAAGAGTGGATTTCATGTCCTGGCGTAGTTTAAATGCCCTCGTATTTTACGAAGTACAGTGACTACGACCATGCATGTGACCACTGACAGCAAAAAATGCAATGTGATTGGCTAGTAAAAATTAACGAAAATTTTTATCTTAAAATTTCCTGGAATACCGGACGACGCGTTCTGCCTCGGCATAACATTTCAGTCGAATTATAGCATGTACAGTAGCTGAGACTGGAAAAATTAAAATATCAAAGTACAAGAACAAGCTTTCGTTAGTAGGGATGCAACTACCTGAAAAATATAAGGAGAGCGAAGGCCCTTCGTCTGGAATTACTGACCTTCGCTCGAAACGTAGATATTCTCCTTATATTTTTCAGATACTTGTTTCCCTACCAACGAAAGCTTGTTCTTATTATTGGCACTACCTACACTGGCACAGACAGTTCAAGTAGCTACTATATTTAAAACATGAGCAGCAGTGTTTCATCAGATATAAAGATACGAGGCGAAGCCGAGTATCTTTAGGTCTGATAAAACACGCACTGTTTTAAATTGCTTCAAAAACGATCGATCTAGTAAGTTCATTGGCGAAGTAATTTTCAAAAAATACGTTGTGTATGTCGAGAAAACCAAAGTTAAAGTTTATGTAAATCAATGGAAATCTCTATCACATATAAAGATACGACACGCTTATGATTTTTCTTTGTGTTTTCCTCGTGAATTAGTTATGAGTTTTTGAAGATTATGTCAAAGTATAGACTTTCGCAAAGTCCGTTTTCTTTTTTGAGGGGAAGTAATAGAGAAGTCGAGTTGTGGCAGGTCTAATCAAAGTATTGACAATGTTTCAGTAACATGGCGACAGTATACATGGTTGTGGTTTATAATTTAGACACTTCTTCCATCGCCATTCCTGCCAGATGATGCAGCTCAGCTACTTGAGAAATGTTTAAAGAGCGCTGGTCGTTCTTCTGCGCATATCTTCTGTGGTTCTATTGTTGTCAGTGAAAAGTTTATCGAAGAATGTGTAAAACCGTTTGAAAAACTAATGCAGGAGAAAGCGGAGAAGGTAATTTCTGCAAAATATTTTCTTCATTTAGTTCAGTGAATTTTAATAAGTCTAAGCCCACCAGGCCCGATAGAGCCATTAATTCTAACGGACCCGACATTTTGATGTTTGTGATGTTACTCTGAGTGTACACACCGGATAACATCACAAACACCATATTCACCTGAGTACATAAGTACTCAGGTGAATACATAAGTACTCAGGTGAATATGATGTTTGTGATACAATTAAGTAACATCACAAACATCATATTCACCTGAGTACATAACACCAAAAAAAAAGAACCCGACATTTGTTTGCCCAACACCATCCAACAATTTTTAGGTAATATTTTACAGTGAAGTATACTTTTGTTTTGCAAATATATTAAAGCAATAAATCTTAATGATTTTATCCAAAAGATTTACAAAAAAAGTTTTAGACAAGATTTTTTCTGGGCCAGCATTGTTGAATCTGTTTTGACGAGCCTTTTTACCGCCGCAACACTACATTAAAAGATTGCACATTTTGTTATTTCACACTTAATATTAACCATTTGGACATATCGGTACCAATCAGGGTTTTCTGCAGTGCTTGTGTCCACCTGTTTATCACAGTATGTTATTCATATTTTAATTGGCAAGAGGGAAATTTCAACACAATCTATAATGCTAAAAATGGTTGATTATAGTACAAAAAGGTTTCAAATTTCTAATGTAGAACACATGCATGTTATCGCCGTTGGCGTCTAAGGATGAATGCAAACACATTGTCACATACGCCATTCAACGCAAAGCTACTGTAGGTAAACATGATTGATCAGATAAAAACCTGTCAAATGCTCTAGATGCTTTTGAAAACACGTACCCAAAGGTTCTTACTTTTGAGGTAGTTTCATTCAACATCCAAGCCATTAGTTGTATTCTTCGCTACCTGCATCGGCACCCAACATGTTCAATATGCATCTTTGACTGTTTATGCTTTGAATATACATAACATGCGCTCAAAATCATGCAGAACTAGGCTACTGTATGCTTCTTACAGGTTTTATGCATAATTCAAAATTTTGAATTTTTGATACGTTTCTCAATCGGCTGTAAAATAATGCTAAAATGAAGAGATTTTAGATGGTACGCCAAAGAGAAAATGATGCCTGAAGTTCAGTATAGTTTTGCTTATATTGCTGTATAAATATGGTGTCAACTTGTCTTTAAAGCATCATTGAATGATATTTATTTATGTTTTATTTATTTAACTGCCAAACGCATGTAAAAACTAAGTAATTTTGAGAGATTCGCCAAAACGATTTTCGGTTTTGAACGCCTCTCTGCGCAAGTACGCGATACAGAAAAGAAATTGCTCTTAATTTTATCCCCTCTTACAGGACGCAGCGACTTCCCCTGCACTGCTAGCTGAACTATCAAAGAAAGACCTTCATGACCTAGACACGAAATCATCCAAACAAGACAAGAAAGAAGAACGTCGAGCAAAGGCCACGACTGGCGGAGGGAGTAAAGGTGGAGGCGGGAGAGGAGCGAGGGAAGTCAAAACTAAGAAGGTACAGTTCACGTCCTTGTCATTCTGAAACTAGCACGTCGGGCATGCATAGCTACGGTAGGACTGGAACGTAGTTGTGACATCAACACTCAAACTACAACACAGCTTACTCCAATGTTAAACTGCAATTAGGCAGAATACGTTTAAGTCATTGATCCATATTGCCTAGCCATGGTGCCCAATATATAAGATTAATTAGTTAGTACAATTGCCTGAGATGTAATGCTGACAAACTTAATGAAGCATGTTCTCCATAGGCCAATCTGTTCGCGCAGAGAAAAACAAATTTTAACAATGTGGTTGTTTTTAACAAATTCTCCCAATGGCCAATGGAAAACCGTCAGACATAACCGGTTTTCCATTGCCCATTGGCAGGGGGAGGGGGGGGGGGTGTGCTATGGTAATATGATGTATTTGTGATAATATGCTCATGTTTCGCCTTTCGGGGACAATAGGGTTGTGATATTGAGGTCAAGTTCAAAGAAAAAAATATTTGGGGATGTAGAGAGCGGTTACATAGAACAATTTAGAACTATAAACTAACATATAACGAGCTGGTTTTTTTTCTGTGTTGGTGTTGTGCTCAGGTGAATATGATGTTTGTGATGTTACTCTGAGTGTATATATCCACACCGGGCAAGCTTGACCGCGTAGCTCAGTTGGCAGAGCATTGGGCTAGTATTCCAAATGTCGTATAAGGTTCGATTCCCACCGTGGCCAGGCATATTGTTCAAGCTTGCCCGGTGTGGATATACACTCAGAGTAACATCACAAACATCATATAACGAACTGTATTCTTGCAGGTTTAACGCATACAGATGCCCTTTTTTCTGACTACTCTGCATTATTTAAGTTAGCCTACTGTACTCTTAATACACACTTTCAGTGGCCGCTAATATGACACAATATTTTCTGTATTGTTCTCAATTGCCTTTCGTTTTTCAATTACAGAAGGACAAAAGCAAGCTGAAGGCTGAGAGACAGACAGAGGAAGATGAAACGAAACCCTCAAATCAAGAACTGCAGTTTATGACACAAGAAGAGGTATGTGGATTTGTACTTGCATTCATTTCTGTTTTGAGAATAATATAGAACAATTATACCATGAGCTTATTGATGATATAATTGTTTCGTAATATAATCTTACAGACATCAACTGCAGCTGCAATAATTTATTCGTCTTCTGTGTTGCAACTTTTGACAGCTTGTTCACCAAACTATTCTAATGGGGGACGGGAGGGGGTTATTGTATGTCTTAGATGCAAGTATATACTATAGTGCAATTTCATGGCCTGCTGTATATGTATATACTATAGTGCAATTTCATGGACTATATAATGGTCATGCATGTCAACAGTATTTTAACATTACTTTTGTTTTGATATGATACAGATTGTATCAGTTCTGACTGGCCACCTTACTGAAATCCCAGAAGAGCTGATTGATGAATTGTCTGAATATTTATACAGGTATGCTGCGACGATTCAGGTTTAAATGCTAATTAAATTATTACAATCATTCTACAAATTGTGTTTGATAATCTTAAAAGGTTACCGTGCACTGCGTGCAGCCTTCTGTCAATCAACATGTCTACTGCTAATAGCACTTTTGGAAAGCACTAAATCTAGTTGGTACATATAGTTCTGAAATAAAAGCTTTAGGCGATAACTAGTAGAACTGCAAGATGATATATAATGAGTGCAGTAAAACGGTAAATATATCTGTAAAGTTGATTAAAAGGTCACCTTGGCAGGGAGAACAATGGGATTTTGGAACTGATCGGATCACTGGATCCTAACTGGATGAACAAGGAGGAATTTCGTTCTCGACCAATCAGTGCATTTGTTGACATTTTCGCTCTAAGCCAACCAGGATGCGTAATTGTTTACTACTTCCGGTAAAAACACAAATTTGAACAGAAAATATAGGATCTTAAATAAAGCTTCGAGGGGGGTCAGGATTTTTAATTTTTTAAATTATTTTAAAGGTAAAATAAGTAATTTTCTAAATATTTGCCGCTGGGATTTGCGTTTTATTGCCTAGTTTTAAAGTTATCGTCATTCGAACAGCGGCGTATAAGAAGCGCGTAAGTTCGAATGCCGATAATTTAGAACTAGGCAATAAAACACAAATCCCAGCGGCAAATTTTTAGAAAATTTCTTATTGCACCTTGTCACGTTGAATCCAATAAAAAAAAATAAAAAGTGGGCTTTCTGTGCTCGCAGGGAAACTACCTATACAGTAACCAATTACGCATTCTGATTGGCTTAGAGCGAAAATGTCAACAAATTGCACTAATTTGCTAAGTGTCAGGCAAAGTGCCTGTTATCATCAATATGTATTTTTATTACGCATTACCAATACAATCTCCGTTTTGATTGGCTGCTAGATAATACTTTCCCGTGTAATTATGACGTCACACTTGCAGATAATAGTTTTCTACATGTTGATATGACGTCACACTGCAAAATATCCCCGAATATTTTGACTCAAAAACTTGAGAAAATAATGAACCCACAGTGACTCCAGTCATGAACAAATTCACTCAATTGTTTTGAGCAAAGTTTCAAATTTAAAGAACTTGGAAATCTTTGTGTACAAAGTGTCGCTCCTTTGATATTACTTGTTGTTCGTAAACGTGTAACCTGTAAAAGATAGTATAAAAACTCATTTATGCTCTGTTAAGACCAAAAGACGGTTCTAGCCAGTGTTAGTTAGGTTAATAAACATGCAAATGTTATGCATGCTAGTAGAAATAGTTTTGGTGGGACTTAATTGGATCTTATTTAAGATCTGTTGTCCTTTTCCTTCAATCGTTAATATATGTTATTGATTGTAAAGTTAATAAAAAAAACTAAAACAAAGATTTACTTATACTCAAGAGAATGAGCTCGTAAGTTTGAGCAATTTTACTCAATATTTTGAGTCAACATTTTTTGCAGTGCAGCTCTGCATACCGGTAAAAGGCAGCTTGTTCACACGACGAAAAACACAGTCGTAGGATACGGTAACTGAAAGCGAAAAACTATTAGACGAAAAAGAAGCGGAAAACACTAAACGAACGTCAAAGACAACATTAAGAGGTTTCAACAAGTATCTTGAAGAAAACAATAAGCGAACCTCAGGGAAGAGAGGCCCTTGCCGAACTATTTTACTAGTTTTTTTTCTTATACTAATAATATATTTAGTAACCTTTATCTATTCAGTCTGTCAGCCTACCCTCAACCTACGGCTTCGGCAGGTAAAACAACCTCGGCCTTGATAATGCTTATATTATGCTCAACCTCATTGCAATAACTGTTAAATATCTGTTGATATTTTTAGACCGTTGATGAGGAAATATCAAGAAGTAGCTCGAACTGTGTTCCTTACATCGGGAGATCAGAAACGCAAACTTCATGTAGAATTACAAGATAAAGTGACAGGATTATATACTAATATTCGGCTTTTTCAGAAAGGTCTCGAAAAACTACCAGGTATGTTGAGAAAATAGATTATCAATCGTAAATTATATTATAAATAACATGATAACTGACCTGTATTTAAAATTATATATTTGATATAAATTGAAAAGGCATATTCGGATGAATACTCTGGTGTAATTTGACTACATACAATCATTTGCTTGAGACATGATTACGCTCAACTCATGCAGTGTAAAGAGAGGTCACCGCTTCTGGCTGTATATGAGATAAGGAAGGAGGGGAAAGAGAGAGGAAGAAATTGAAAATGAAATTCTTGGA